CAACAAAAATCGACAAACGAGTGGACAGAACTCCCCCAGGAAAACGAACTAACAAGCATGACGTCACGCGAGCCGCGCCGCATGTCTGCGCAGCTCCCCTCTTCCCGGGAGGGGGAAGGGGGAGCCCCAGACCCCCGCGCCGGTGATCCCCGCCCTAGTTCTGAGGCTGGATCTCAAAACCGTGAAAAAACCCCGCCGACCGGAGAGCGGGAGGGTGCCGGGGAGCCTCCGGGACTCACCCAGAAAGTGGCGTTTCATTACATTTAACGCTGGTTTTCTGGGGGGAGCCCCTACGGCTCCCCAGAGCTACCTCACCAAAGACTACCTAAAAAACAAGGGGACATACCCGGGAGGCGGTCGGAGAAGCACTCCACAACACGAAGTCGAGACAACAACCCAAGGTATAGCATTCGCCAGAAAAAAGGGACAACGGCTGCAGACGAAGAAAACCTATGATCACGACCATAGGAGCCAAAAACCACTGCGCCTGAGAAGAGCAAGAAGCTCTGCCACACGGCCCCCAGAGGCGAATGCTAACACAAAAAAAAACCGAGGGAAAGCAAACCTGACCTCAAGGAGCCACAACCAACAAGAAGAAAAACAGGAGAGCACCCTGTCCAAAGACCAGGACGACACAGGCAGTGCATAAGCAGGCCGGAGGTGTAACAACGCACGATACAACCACAAAACCTCCGACACAGGAAAACTTACTACCAAACAGGCACCCCCACCGTTGCACTGCGGAACAAGGTGGAGGCGGGGCCCCGAACTCAAGCAAGGTTAGACAAGCATAGGAGAGGGGCAGGAGGAGTACAGGCAGGAACTGCCTCAGAAGGGACAAGAGGCCACCTGCAGACACCCGGGAACCGAGGAAGGAATCAGGTGGAGAGAACAAGAGCTGCCCAGTATGGGCTAATACCCCTACAGTAGGCACCTCGGGTGATACGGTCCACGTTCTCAAGTACGTATGTACACCCATTTCTACTCCCAAAAACAAAAACAGCGTCAGGATGAAGGAGACGCCAAAACCGCACCAACTCACCTGCAGAACGTAGGCCCTGAAGGGCCATGGCGCAAGCGTTCGAGTCCGTATCCGCCGGAGGGGGCTAGTGCGCCCATGCTGGAGAGGAGTGGAGCAGCGAAGGAGGCTCCCCACCATAGAACGCAGGGAAAAACCTCATGAATTCCACACAGCGGCACCCCAGAACACCCCCAAAGCAACGGGGCATGGATGGGATTAAGAAAAGAGCGAGAGGCGAAGCCCCCCCGAGAGAATTGGAGCAGAACACGTGTGCACACCGCCCGGAATCAAAACAAACTCCCACGGCGCATGCGCAGGACGCGAAAGGAAGTAGCCCAACCAGGCGCGAAGTAGCCCAACCAGGCGAGAAGTAGCCCAACAAGGCGAGAAGTAGCCCAACAAGGCGAGAAGTAGCCCAACAAGGCGAGAAGTAGCCCAACCAGCTACAAGGAGCCCAAACAGCCACAAAGGAGCCCAAACGGCCACAAAGGAGCCCAAACGGCCACAAAGGAGCCCAAACGGCCACAAAGGAGCCCAAACGGCCACAAAGGAGCCCAAACGGCCACAAAGGAGCCCAAACGGCCACAAAGGAGCCCAAACGACCACAAAGGAGCCCAAACGGCGACAAGGAGCCCAAACGGCGACAAGGAACCCAAACGGCTACAAGGAGCCCAAACGGCTACAAGGAGCCCAAACGGCTACAAGGAGCCCAAACGGCTACAAGGAGCCCAAACGGCTACAAGGAGCCCAAACGGCTACAAGGAGCCCAACCTGTCCAGAACAGAAGGAACCAGTATGGAGGCAAACTCCGGGACACGCAGGAGGAAGCCGCAAAGGCCAACCGCACCGCAGGCGAAGAGATGTGGTTAGCCGAAAACCTCCTGAAGACGGAACCGAAGAAACCACAGGGACACGGAACCAAACCCGGGGAGGAGCAGAACCCAAGCCCAAATCGTACGCAGAGGGGGGAAAGAAAACCCCACTCCTCGTAACAGTAAGCCCCGCTCAGAAGGATGGAAATCCAAGCGGGGCACAATGGAGCCCAAAGCCCCCAAGGCCGCTCCTCTCCAACCCCAGGGCCGAGTCGACCTCCAAAGCCCCGGCCTCACAAGAAAAAGCCGGGGCAGCCGAGAGAGCTGGAAGAGAAGGGGGCCCACTGGTCAAAACCCCGGAGCATCGGCCGGAGGAACAGACTCGAATGCCTCCGCAGCTACCCCGGACGGGGCAACCCCCGAAACTGCCCAAGTCTCAGAACCTCTAACCCTGCCCCGACCCCGAAGCCTGCAGATGCGTAGGGGCCGGAAGCAGGAGGGGGAAACCAAGGGGGGCGTGGAAGGAACCAAGGCCGAAGCGACCAAAACCACCCAAGTCTGGGTCCCTACACAAGCGGGGCAGCATCGGGGCGTCCGGGGAAGCGACAAACCAGAGAGCGTTGCAACATGCTACCCTGCAACGAGCGAGCTGCCTGCACCCACGGGAATTCATCAGCAGACTGGGTGAATGGAGTCACGAACAAGCAACAAAGCTCGCAGGACTCAAGGGTCGAATGTGTCACCGACCCAACAGGCAGCATGACGGAGGCAAAAACAAGGAGAGTCACCCTGAGACAAAGGGACAGAGCAACCCTCAACTCACACAAAGCGAGAGGGGACGCAAGGGTCTCCACTATCGGACTCGAGAGCCCCCGGGAGGTTTCCCAGGGCCCCTAGACTGGGTCTGCTAAGGGTTATCCCAGGCAGGGCACTGCTAACCGGCGCCCCAAACTACCAAGCAAACTGCTAAAACTCAACCCACAAGACGTGTCCACTCGCGAGGGCAAAGCAGGGGGTGCCACCACACAAACGAACCTAATATAAGGAGGGGGGGGAAAAACAAGGAAGACCCCCCTACCAGGCAAAAACAAAAATAAAAAAAAAACACACAAGTGGACAACGTACCCAGAGGGAACAGAGCCGGCCGCTGTCATAGGTGAAAACGCCAGTGTTATTGTATCGCGTACGACAAGCATCCTTCTGCATTTATTTGCACTTTTCTTTGGGTTTTTTTTGTAGTTTTGTGACTACAATTTGTAACGCACGATGTCACCAAAGAAGCTGCTTGCTAAAGATAGTGTTGTCAAGAGGAAGACACAATTACTGTGGATTTGAAGAAGGAAATTATGACAAAGCATGAGTGTGGTGTCTGTGTGATTGATCTCACAAGGGAGTATGGCAGGTAGGTCCTCATCAACAATTTCCACCATTAGTAAGGGGAGGAGGAGGTAAGGGAGGATGCTGCCTCTTCCAGTGAGATCAGGGAAGTGTTGGGAATGTTTGAAAAGGTGAACGCATTCTTGGAAAAGCTGCCCTGATAAAGCAGCGACAACCCGGTGTGTAAACATGTTTAATGACAATTTACTGTCTCGTTTTAGGAACATCCTAAAACAAAGACAAAAGCAATCGTCAATAGATACGTTTTTTGCAAAAGTAGAGAAAAGAAGAGCCAGTGATAGTGAACCACAACCCGTTCCCAGTGGGGTGAAATTCCTAAGAAGAGAGAGCTTGCCTGACTCAGAGGTGGATTCTCCTCCCACACCATAACCCCTCTCTCCTCCTTCCCACCTCCCCATCGTCTCTCTCAAGCCAGCAACGACTCTTCATAAGGTAAAGTAAACATGAAAACAGTACAACAATACATTTATAATTACAGGGGTACCTCGGTTAAAGAGTTTAATCCGTTCCTGGAGACGGCTCGTATTCCGAAAACTCGTATTCCGAAGCTAATTTCCCCATAAGAAATAATGGGAAATGAATTAATCCGTTCCTGACTACCCCAAAAACCCCACATCAAACTAAATTTTTATACCTAATTCAACTAAATAAACCTACAAAACTATGTTCAAGTTATTACTTACCTTGCTATTGAAAGCTGTAGGCGTATGGAAGATGGTGAGGAGGGGGGAGGAGGAGAGGAGTTACTGTCTGGAAGGGGAGTCCCCTTCCATTATCACATCAGGCAGTGAGGACCTTTCTGGTGTGCACTCCCTGGCACGTTTTATCTGAGTGCCACTAGGTCCTGGTTGCGGCTCTCTGCTCGATTTTCTCACCACAAATCTGTCCATGGAAGCTTGCTTTTCCCTTCTTCGCAAGCTGTCTCTATAGTAAGGCATCACATTGTCATTGAAAAGATTAAGGCAACGGCCTACTACAGCTTCAAAGTTCAACAACACGTGTACCATTCTCATGCTTCCGAATGATCTCTTGTTTCTCCTCTATTGTCATCCTCACATGGGCTTTCTGGCCTTGATCCTTACCACTGGCTTTCTTGGGACCCATGGTGAGATATATAATAACAAATTGTATAGTCAAATGACCAAAAATCCAACAAAACACTGAAAATCCGGGTGAAGAATTGATGTGGGATAGTCGCTGGGCGCGAGACAATGGTAAACTGAGGGGCGGAGGGGCGACGATCGCCGTACCACCACGCGCTAGGTCGGCCTGAACGCGTATCAACAAACTCGCGTTCTGAGGTAACCCTCACCTTCCGAGACACATTTTCCGAGGAAATCCTGCTCGTTTTCCGAAAAACTCGCATACAGGGACACTCGTGTTCCGAGGTACCACTGTACATGTGCAGCATTATATTTACATTATAAAATGTCATACAAGTATGGATGTTTTTGGGAGTGGAACGGATTAAATTTGCTTCCTTTATTTTAAATAGGGAAATTTGTTTCTTAAGATGAGTTTTCCACATAACGAGCTCTGTGCTAGAACGGATTAAACTCATTCATCGAGGTGCCACTGTAATATAAATTTTAGCCTTGCTATTAATAAAGATTTCATAAAGTAAATTCTCAACAGAATTACATTATTATTTGCATTATGGTATTTCATTATTTTTTGTCTAATGATCATAAGTATAAACATTCCTATAATTTTCAAACAAACCTTCAATTAATATGAATCCAATTTTTGTAATCAAATATAGAACTTACTTGACAGAGTCACCTTGATGGAGTGGATGAACTTTCCAGCTGTCTGTCATCCATCCTGGCCAAGCAAGCTCACACAATGGACAATACACATAGGAGCACTCCTGAACCAGGATGAAAATTAAATGCCACTGAAAACAGACTTTACAATATGACATGACAAGGAGTTAATATATAAAAAAACCAGTGTTGAATGTAATGAAACTCCATTTTCTGGGTGAGACCCGGAGGCTCCCTGGAACTATCCAGGCTGATATGTAACTACAGTATTAGCTTTCTGGCATCAGTCAAAGTGCATGGAGTTCTTGCCTACCGAGGACCATGAGCCAGAACCTGGCCCCCCTCAGAGGGGCACAAGGAGCAATGGAATATAGAAACTTCTGTGTGATTGGGAGCATTCTATGTCTGCTATCGACCAGATCTGGCAACCAGAAAGATAGGCATCCCAAAACAAACCTCTATTTTGGTGAAAATATTACTACCGAAAGCTAAATGAGTGGACAGAACTCCCCAAACGAAAATTAGCAAACGATCATGACGTCATCACGTTGCCGTGCCGCTCTCTACGCACCCCCCCCCTCCTTCACAGGGAGGGGAAAGGGGGAGCCCCAGATCCTTGCACTGGCGATGCAACCGGCAGTTCTTAAGCTGGATGTCAAAAACACACGAAAACATGGCCGACAGAGAAGGAGAGAGGAAGGGATGCCAGGGAGCCTCCAGGTCTCACCCAGAAAATGGTGTTTCATTACATTCAATGCTGGTTTCTAGGGGAAGCCCCGTCGGCTCCCTGGAGCTAACTACCCAAAGACAAGGGAAAAAAACAGGGACTTACTCGGGAGGCGGTCAGTCCTCACTCCTCAACGCATAGTCGAGACAACTGGCTGCAACCACCGTCTCTATGCAATGCAGGCCCTACCAGGTTTAGGAACACTGACTCGGTAGCGTGCGGCCAGGACCCTGTTCGACCTCCAAAACCCCCGTGCCTGAATGTCAACCCAAAATATGTTGCCAAAGATGGCAGCCAAAGCAGCACTTAAAAACGTCATGGGCACGGGGATAGACCGCAGGTTGACTAGACTTAATAACCCTGCGGCAGCCTGGGAGATCCAAGCCCGGGAACAGAGAAGGAGGGAAACCAGGTCAACCCAAAGCGCATCCCGGTCACCGAAGCTGTGATGCACAAATAACGGGGGAGAACCGCAACCGGAAACAACACATGATACATCCCCGGCTTGACAACCAAGCATCAACTACCCAAGGACCCCTCCGGAAAGCAGCAGTCTCATTCTTCACCAAAAAAGAAGGAGACGGCTCCAAATGAACAAACCTACCACCAGGACCGAAGGAGCAGAAGCCACTGCGCTGGAGGAGAGCATGAAGCTCCCCAACCCAACCCCCAGAAGTCAGTGCCAACAGGAAAAAAGAGCCTTAGAAAAACAATCCTAAACCAAAGGGGCCACTATAAACTGAGGAGAAGGAAGAAAAGAGAGCACCCAGTCCAAAGACCTGGACAGCTCCGGAGGCACATGAGCAGGCCAAGGATGAAACAACGCATGAGACAGCTTGCAGAACCGGGCAGAGGTAACATCAATACCGGACCCAAGCTGGAGCGGCTCCGCCAGCACCGCACAATACGAGGTGACAGTATTCGGCATAAGATGACAGTCCTGGAACAACCACGAAAGGAAGGACAAGACAACCCTATCAGAGACCGAAGTACACCTATGCAACGATAGGAAAACCCAGAATTACTGCCAGAAATCATACTGCCACCGAGACGAAAAACGCAGGTGGGAGACCAACAACGAAGCCACCTGCACCACATACAAGTGATGATAGACTCAAGCCAAAAACTCCAGATGCGAAGACTCGAGGAGAAGAACAAACCTGCCTCATACTGGGCTGGACCGATCTGCTGAAAGAGGTACAGCCGAGGGAAGACCCTTGGCTTCAGACACCGAACAAGCAGCACCTGAAACCAAGACTGGGCCAGCCACCAAGGAGCCAGAAGCACAACACTCCTCTGGTAAGACTCCGAGCGAGCCAGGACCTGGAGCAACAGCTGAATTGGGGAAAAGAGATACAGGTAACTTCACCTCACCCAGACCTGCCTAAAGGCCTTAACCCCGATGGCCTCACAGCCGGGGAAGGGTGGCACGTATTCCGGGAGACGCCTCAACCATGTCGACGCGAAGAGATCCACTTCTGGAGGCCCGAACATCTGGCAGAACTGGCGTCAACCATCCATTCCACGGATGGGGGAATGAACCGGGACAGAACGTCCACCAGGATATTGAACACCACCCGAACGTGAATTGCCAGGAGAGCCAAACTCCGAGAACTCAGCAGATGAGTCACCCGAAGCGACCAGACCCAAAGAGCCAAGGACCGCATGAACTCCCTCGGTTCAGGCAATGAATCACCGGGGAGCAGTCCAAATGAAGCCGGATTGTCGATCCGCAAGTGACCAGAATCCTCCAGAGTGACATCCACACAGCCGTGAACTCCTGTACAGTGCTGTGAGCCCAAGGGAAAGACGAACCCCACTGTCCCTGGCCGGCTTGGTGAGCACTGGTCACAAAGCCCCAGCCAAGAGGCGACACCTGTCCATGAACACATTGAGTGAGGGCCTGGGTAGGCGCCAAGGCACTGAACCCCAAAAAAACTCTAAGAGGAAACCGGCGACACAGCAAATGACGCAAAGCCCCTGGAGGCAGAACCCAGTGGTCGCAAGAGAGGGTGAAGGGATGTCCCCAAAGGAACCAGAACAGTTGACGAAGCCACACCCAACCCAGCGGGTGGACCATCATGGCAAAGTTCAGGCTCCCGCACAATCCATCGAGCAACTGCCGCATAACCCGGGAGCCCCTCAAGAACAGACGAAGATGGGAATGCAGGCGAAGCAGAGCCGCTGGAGGAAGAGACAAGGAAGTGGTCCAAGCATCCCATACAAGACCCAGCCAAGACCAAACCTGAGAGAGAACCAGATGGGACTTCCGCCAGTTCACCAAGAATGTGAAGAGCTGGGAAAGAACCAAATTCCTGGTGAGCAGACACATGGACTGGCTGGGAGCACAAAACAGCCTGTTGTCGAGGTAACACAGAACTCATACACCTAACAGAAGCAGGCGGGCCACCACGACCCGAGTAAGGCATGTGAAAACGCGAGACACCAGATTCAAGCAGAATGAAAGGGAACAAAAGTGGTAACCTTGATGCCTCACAACAAAACTGAGCCAGTCCCTGAACCTCGGAAGAATTGGGACATGCCAATACGCATCCTTGAGGTCCAGGAACACCATCCAAGCATCCAGCTCCAGCAGAAAACGGACCAGTGACAGAGTAGTCATCCGAAAGGAGGGGCAAGAAACCCACGGGTTCAGATGGGACAAGTCCAAAATGAACTGGAGGTCCGTGCAATCCTGTTTCGGGACCAGAAACAGGCAGGAAACCCACCTGAGACGAGGTCGTTTAGACCACACCCAAGTCAACCCACTCCGAGATGACTCGACAGAGCGCAAGAGAAGAGACCTGCCCCGCCAGCCCTGAACCCCTTGGAGGAGGAGGAGCCACCTAACTCCACCACAGGCCGCACGAAACGATACAAAATGCCCACAAATTATGGGATCAGGCACGAGCAAAAAAAGCGAGCTTCCCCCCCCCCCCCCATCGCCCTGTCAAGGGGACAAACCGTGAAAGGGCTGACAAACCTTACAACAACCTAAGCGGCACACAGGGCGACCCTCGTGCTGACCAGAAAGAGATGGAACTGAAGGCTGCACCTGCCCCGAATCTGTCACCACTGGCCTACCACGATGGAAAGAACCCCGGGCCCTGGCACAACCCTTCTGGGAAGGCACCCCCCCCCCCCCCCCCACGAGCCCCCCGGAAGTCTAATAAGCCCGACATAGGACGGCAACTAGCCGAAGCTGCCTGCAAGTTTGTTTATTTATTTATTTATTTATATATATACAAGAAGGTACATTGGGATTGTGAGGATACATAGCATAGTGATTACATTCTTGTAAAGCCACTAGTACGTGCAGCATTTCGGGCAGGTCCTTAATCAAACATAAAATTTTAAGTAGGTAAATATTAGCAAAATTTACAAAAATGATAATAGGTACAAAGCAAGAAAAAAAAAAACGAGAGAAATTTGTAGGTATATTAAAGCACATCAGTAGCTCAGATTGATTGCATTGGCAGCTTGATTGGTGGTTTAAAAAAATTAACAGACACAACACAACATACAGCTAGCACATTAAAGAAGACAGCAATCATCACAATGGTAAAGTTGTTTGGATTAAGTACATAAAGATTGGGAGTTTGGGTAACAATAGATACAGAGCAAATTTAAAGCACAGTGAAGGAAACTATGAAGATGAAATTAGGTACTTTTTGGTTTGGTTTTTGAATGAGGCAAAAGTTTGACAGCTTTTCAATTCATTAGGGAGTGAGTTCCATAAACTAGGTCTCTTTATTTGCATAGTGTTTACACAGATTAAGTTTGACTCTGGGGATATCAGAGATATTTATTTCTGGTGTGGTGATAATGGGTCCTATTACATCTGTCCAGGGAGAGTTTCAGGGCATGGTTTGCATTAAGAACAGGGTTTTGTAAATGTAGTTGACACAAGAGAATGTGTGGAGTGAGTTAATGTTTAGCATGTTTAGGGATTTAAACAAGGGGCTGAGTGTTGTCTAAATGCAGAGTTTGTTATTAATGTACTGTACTGTATTCTGATAGCAGATCTTTGCTGGGTGATGAAGGGCTTGAGGTGGTTTGCAGTGGTTGACCCCCATGCACAGATACCATAATTAAGATAGGGATAGATTAGTACATAATATAGTGAGAGGAGAGCAGAGTTAGGAACATAATATCTCATTTTGGAGAGTATACCAACTGTTTTAGAGACTTTCTTAGTTATGTGTTGACTGTGGGTACTGAAGTTGAGTCTCTTGTCTAGGAATAGGCCAAGAAACTTTCCATCATTTTTATTACTGATGTTACTATTGTCTATCTGTAGCTGAATTGCATTCGATGATTTGCTTCCAAATAAGATGTAGTAGGTCTTTTCTAGGTTTAGTGTTGGTTTATTAATTG